CCAGTTTGGCAGTTGTTTCCTTTGTATCCAGACCGACAGTTGCAAACATATCCATTAACTCGGTCAAAACACGTCCCTCCGTTCAAACAAGGCTTACTTGAACATTCGTTTATATCTATGTGGGATAATTCCAAAAGATTTTCAGTTGATCTTGAATTTACAAATCGACAAAGATCATCCCTGATTGAGAGTGATAGTGGAATATGAGAGTAAAAAGGACAATACAAAACCGTTGGAGAGCGCCTTCCATTGCTTTAATAAATAAATAGTGGTTTACCGGTGCAATAAGCAATAGGTAGTATATCAGCTATTTCATTATAAAAATAAAAAACAGACTTGCTGATAAACCCAACGGTAGTAACGTCTTACCAGTTTGGCAGTTGTTTCCTTTGTATCCCGGACGACAGTTACAAGCGTATCCATTGACTTGGTTAACACACGTCCCTCCGTTTAAACAAGGATTGCTGGAACATCTGTTTATATCTGTGTAAGATAATTCCTAAAGATTTTCGGTTGATCTTGAATTTAATTTACAAATCGACGAAGATCATCCCTGATTGAGAGTGATAGTGAAATATGAGAGTAAGAAGGACAATACAAAACCATTAGAGAGCGCCTTCCATTGCTTTAATAGATAAATAATGGTTTACCGGTACAATAAGCAATAGGTAGTATAACAGTTCTTTCATTATAAAAAAGTAAAAACAAACTTCCTGATAAACCCAACGGCAGTAACGTCTCACCAGTTTGGCAGTTGTTTCCTTTGTATCCAGGATGACAGTTACAAGTGTATCCATTGACTTGGTTAACACACGTCCCTCCGTTTAAACAAGGATTGCTGGAACATCTGTTTATATCTATGTGAGATAATTCTTAAAGATTTTCAGTGGATCTTGAATTTACAAATCGACAAAGATCATCCTTGAATAATAGTGATAGTGAAATATGAGAGTAAAAGAGACGAGTCAAAACTTGAAGCACAATCGTGGAACCTACTCTTTTGGCAATTTACTCCTGCGTATCCAGGGTGACAGGCACAGACATATCTATTCACAAGATCAAAACACGAACCACCGTTCAAACAGGGATTACTGGAACATTCGTTGATATCTGCCACACACAAGAAAAGGAAACAATTAACGTTAAAACAATAGATGGCACTTTCTATCAATTTACCGGTGTAGTAAGTATCCACACGGGATGTTGACAGAACACGGGAAAGAAATTGCCGGAGGCGAGTGAATTACAAACCTTTTAAGTGTTCTCCCAATATTACGCCGGTACAAAGATAAAAAACGCGGCCATTGCCTTAATAAAAAAATAAACCTGCTAATAAACCCAACGGCGATAACCTCTTACCAGTTCGGCAGTTGTTTCCTTTGTATCCAAGCCGACAGTGACAAACATATCCATTTACCTGATCAACACAAATCCCTCCGTTCAAACAGGGATTACTGACACATTCATCGATTTCTGCAAGACATAAATTAAATATTAGTTATTTGTTTGTTTAATATTCTCAGAGAAAAGTACGCATAAATCTAACCAACAGTTTGTTTTGTTTTACTACCTTCGGTAGAAAAAGGTGTGAGGCTGTTAAGTTGGATTGGTTAACTTAAAGTGGGGATCCATCTTAATTGGCATTTTCTGGTTAACCACAAGCGAAGAAGTAATATACAAACTAAAGACAATATACAAACTAAATACAAAGAATATACAAACTAAATACAGTAGTAGATAAAATATCTATAGTTAACTTATTAAGAGATTTATAGTAAAAATACACAGAAGTCAAAATGAACAAAGGCTACAGCCTGCGCAGCCATCATCTAAAAGTTCACTTATATTGAGTTGGCGTATCTTGCTTTTAAACGACGTTAGGGTTGTGACGTCCCTAATTTGTGGTCGTTAACCAGTAAACAGTAATGACTTTAGGGACTTTAATTAGTTTGGAGTTCTGCTAGTAAAATAACGTCTTACTTGGTGCTGTTCAGACTAATGGTAATTACATTAATTAGAACCAAGATGATTTCCAAACATTCTGAATAAACTTCAGGAAAGTAGCATAGTCTCGAAGAGTGTGGTCCTCATTAATATGGAATCATCCTCTTATACGTATATCCATCCATGGTCCTTTTTTTCTCTTTTCTGTTTATCTTTGAGGGTCTAATCACCATTCAGCTGTTATTTCGATGTTTTTTTAATTGTAATTCTATTCTAGAATTGTGTGCCTTTTGTTGATAGAAAAGGCAGGTGGACTGAAAAGAATCTTCGTGAAGGACATGAAATAGTTTTGAAAACAGTCACCCTCTGCGAAGCATTCTACAACTCAAATGTTTGTAATCCGTGTTCGTCGGCGAATAAAAAAATAGGAAGTTATACAAAAAGAAATCCCTCAATTACGTAGATTTTGAGTACCTTTCACCGATGAATTCTTCATTTATATTGATTTCTTCGGTAATAGTCTTATTAAACGTTGTCAAAAAATTAAAGATATATAGCACGCTAAAAAATTTCCCTTTGAATCTGCAAGTGGCTCTGCACCTGAGATTGAAGTTGCTAGGTAATGTTCATAAAATACATTTAAAGCAGTTTAGGTAAAGGCAAAATCATGTGAACATGCTGATTGTAAATCATTGGGTTTTTTGCTCGATGAAATTAATTTACTACAATTAGCAGAATCCATCAAGTTTTTAATTTCTTGAGAAAATTAGGGCTATTGTTATGTGGGAGTTTTGTTTCGGTTTATGGAATTCCGTCAGATCTAAAATGAAAACAAAATGAATTCAGGTAGCTTAAGGGTGACATTGGTCTTTTGAAAGTCAGTGTCATTTGGGACATTGCCCGCTCCAAAACTGGAAGATATTGGCCCGCGCTTGATCTGATTAGCGCAGTCTGATTGTTTGATATTTTTTTACGGCCCTGAAACCGCCCTGATCTTGTAACAGAACCTATGGGTGGGTGGTAATATGAATGAGTCTAAGCTCACTCTGAGAGAGCTGAATTTTTGCGATTTTGAAAATTACTGGGTGAAGATTTTCTTGCTGAATAATGTACATCTCAGAGACGTTATCACACATTTTTCATTTGTACTCTCTATCCATGCATTGCAACTGCAAGCTTTTTATGTTTAGATGAGTTGCACATGAATACAGACAAGAATAATAACGACAAAAATAAGATCAGTGCTCGCGATTCTTAGTTTAGCTTTTCATTTTTTATTTTACAATTCTAATAACAGCATTTAAAACTGACGGAAATATTAGAAAAACGTACTGAAAGGAAATGACCCTACTACAGAACTGACAATGATATCACTGCTGTGGCGGATCCAGGATTTAGTCAAGGAGGCTTCGGATAATTGTTCCCCTTCTGAGGGGTTCAAGATTTTGAAAATTAGGTCTTCGGAAACATGATTTCCAGCGTTCTGAGGGAAAATTTAGGGGGTTCGACCGAACCACCTGAACCACTCCTGGATCCACCCTAGCACTGAGAACAGGTAGATAGACCCTACTTTTAAGTTCATTTGCCTTCATATATGTTACGAGTTGATAAAAAGTTAAAAAAGGCTGAGTATTTGGAATAAATCATTGTTGGTGAAACAACACTAATACTACAATGAGATGTGAAGTTATGAATTTTTTTTTTAAACGGGGAATTTTAAATTATTTAAGGTGCCAAGATTTGAACTCCTATCCCTACAGACGACATGTTCCATCGTGCATCTACTCCTTTATGACGGAAATATGTTTGGTTTTTTCCCAAAATAAACTCGGCTCTTTACTACTAAACTTGCTGTGATGTCTATTCAAACGCCTCAGGTCGTTTTCATTGTGGGTTAGTTATTTTTCTGGAAAACCTCACCCCTTCCTTTGTCATATTCTTGTCATTCAATTTCTGATGATAACGACATGTAACTGCTCAAGGCCGTTGGACGAAATGGACGAAAAATTCCCGTTGGCTTAAAGCAACACGTTGTCAATCAACCCTCGAACTAAACAATCTTCGTGGCGACTACCTTTTAGAAAATGACGGACGACGGTCATTTCGAGAAGTTCTGCTCTCAAGAATCGATGTCGAAGTAGAATATAACAC